TCCCCTGGAGAGGAGAAGGATCCAGGGAGAGCTCAGAGCCCCTGGGAATGTTCCCCTGGAGAGGAGAAGGATCCAGGAGAGCTCAGAGCCCCTGGCAGGGCCTGGAGGGCTCCAGGAGAGCTGGAGAGGGGCTGGGGACAGGGCAGGGAGGGACAGGACACAGGGAATGGCTTCACTGCCAGAGGGCAGGGATGGATGGGAAATTGGGAATTGTTCCCTGGGCAGGTGGCAGGCCCTGGCACAGGTGCCCAGAGCAGCTGTGGCTGCCCCTGGATCCCTGGCAGTGTCCAATGCCAAGTTGGATGAAGCTTGGAGCAGCCTGGGATAGTGGGAGGTGTCCCTGCCCATGGAACTGGATGATCTTTAAGATCCTTTTAATCACACAAGGCAAAGGCTGGTGAAAAATCCTGCCTGTGGCACATTTAATTTGTCATAATTTTGACCTTTCTGGAAGCAGCCAGGATGAGCTGAACACTGGAGGAGTTTGGATGTACTTCATGGCTATATTTGATACCATGACATGGCTTAGAAAGACTTTGGATCAACTCGGATGGATTCAGCTCCCTCCCCTGCTCTGTGAAAGCCACCTGGAAGGACCTTCCATGCCCTGCTCCCTCCAGGTGCCCATTTGGGTGCCCCAGGGTGACTCTCAGATGCATTTCACGATATTGGGGAATCTCCACAGTCCTTCCTCTGCTATTTCCAGTCCCTCCTCGCATCCAGAGCACAAAGGAAGGGGAAAAAAGTGAGTTTTGGAAGGAATGAAAGGCCAAGCAAGCCTTGTGAGTGTGCAAAACTTTGAATCATCTGAGCCGTGTTTATCCATGCTCCTGGGAGAGGAGGGGAGCTTCAGGCAAGCAGAGCATTGAGGAGGTTCCCAAGCAGCAGAGTGCTTGTTTTGTTCCTGGTACAGAACTCCTGGGTGTCCCTCACCGTGCCATGAACCTCCCGTGGTGGGATGGGAGATCCTCAGGAATCAGCAGCTCCAGCAGGGAGCACCTCTCTGCAAAGGGGGTAAAAAACCAGAGCCAGACACTACAAATCCATCCTGTGCCAGTGCAGCCCGAAGATAAAAGTGTTGTAATACTCTGTAATTACAGTCAGCCTCAAAGAAGATGCTTTATGAGGGCATTAATCAGCTGCTCAGCTCCTACAGAAGGAAATAATGGGATTTTTAAACAGTGCT